CTCGCCCCGGATTTGCGCGGGTGTACATGTATTATAGATATAAACCTTTCTTTTGAATCACTCTATCTATTAAAAAAACCGCCTTAAAATCCGTTGCATAGTTTTAAAGACTTAAGCATACATAGGGACGGCGATTTTATCTCATACTATTTAATGGTATTGAATATATATTAACGTTTTCTTGTCATATCTTAATATATATTTTATATTTTGTAAGTGTTTGTATGTTTTATCTTTTTAAATACCCGCTAACTACCACCTCTGTAACAGCGTTGTTGGCTGGAAGAGATCTCTATCAGGGATGAGCCCGCGCTTGCTCGCATTTTTGTACAACATATTTTTATTTCATAGTGTTACAAGTGTAACAAAGTATACATTATTGAACAGAATTATAATGTCATAACATAAAAAAATCAGGTAAACATTCATAATGCGGCGTAATCTGTACATATAAATAAATTTGCAGTATTTTTTTTTATTTCTTTTAAATTTAGGATCTTTTGTACCATCTAAGTACATGTGAGTCCCATTGTACCCTAAAACCAATCCCTCCATTACCTCACCAGTGAACAAATTGCCTTAGCCGCACCGCCCCAGTCTTTATTTGTAATATTGAAATAACCGTTTTTTACTACATGCATACATATATGAATATAAATACGGTATAGTACACCAAATTACATTTTTTATAATTTTTATCTGTCTGTCCGTAAGTCGTTCGGGCTATTCTCTGAAACGGCTGGACCGATTTTGAGGGATTTTTTTTAGTTTTATTTTAGAACAATAAAGTAAAATTCCACGCGGACGTAGTCGCGGGTACAACTGGTATGTAAATATAAATCGTATGTAATATGACGTGACTGCTATCGTATAGGTATATAATGAACTATATTCGGTGGGTATGTGGAGAATATTGACGTTGCCGGGTGCCGGGTGCCGGGTGCCGGGTGCCGGTACGGCGCGGCGAGGTGACTGCGATTGAGACGAGTTCATCGGTTGCAGGCGGCGCTGTTTGACGGCGAACATGACACGTTGATCAATCAGGGAGCCAATGAGCATGTCGACGCGCGGCCGCTCACATTACTGTGGGGATGTCAACATTGTGACGTCATTGTCACTACTCTACCGACTCTACCGACCGACGCGACTAGACGCGACGTAACTGTAGTGTATTACAATTATAAAAGTCTCAATACTACATTCTTTTAAAAAAGTGTATATTCATGGATACTTGAACAACGTTAATAACATTCAATTAATGAATTACTTACTGACAAATAACGGCCAGTAATGTGATTGTGATGTATTTAAGTAAAATATTTACAATTAATTAAATATTGACATTCTGTTATAATGTTTTTAAAGTAAGAAGTTATGATGTATGACTACTGTTTATAATTTATAATGCTTGGATTACATAATTAATATTTGTAGGCTGGAAACAGCAGAATATGATGAAACATACATCTAAATATATAACTCAAAGGTGACTGCTGACATAGTGATCTATCAACGCACAGCCCAAACCACTGAACGGATCGGACTGAAATTTGGCATGCAGGTAGATGTTATAACGTAGGCATCCGCTAAGAAAGGATTTTGATAAATTCCACCCCTAAGGGGATAAATTAACGCGAGCGAAGCCGCGGGTATAATTACCACCATTGTACATACCATATACCTGACAAATAAATATATTATTATTATTACTATTTATATATTAGTTTTATACTTTGTAGGTAATAAGATATTTGTAAGTAATAGGTGGCTTGTAGAATTTAAGACAAACAGATTTTGTTGAAGGCATTCCGAAATATATCAGATAAGTGAACGGTTGCTTTATTATTTATCTCCGTATCTCGCAGTAACCGACCGTCACATTAATTACAGTTTCAATTCTATATTAAAATACAATATACTATTCAGTTTGAGTGGATGTGATTGTGTATTGGACAAACTGTATGATTTCTATTATAACTGGTGAAGGTTTATTATGGACTGTATATTTTATATTAATAATTTTAATTCAAATAGAAAATGCGGTCGCCGGTCGCTGGTAGTAATAGACATATTAATATTTCATAATTGACAATAAAAATGGAACTAAGCATAAAATATTAAAAGTGTGTGTATAAAAAATAAATTGTCATATAAATAGTTTTATTACTATGGAGTAACAAATATTTTATACAAAATATGCTGCAAGTAAGACATAATAGTATAGTTCTGAAGAGTTTATGATAAAATTGTTAATTTATAATTAGTATTATCTTATGGTGATATTTATATATTGACGGCCTCGGTAGTTTATCGGTTTAGCACACCGCTTTACTTCTGATGGTCGCGAGTTCGATTCCTCGCACGGCACAAACATTTGTATTCATGAGTATGATTGTTTGTGTCGGTCTGGGTGTTTTCTATGTATAATATCTATGTATTTACAAAACAAAATCTAAGTATTTATATCATTTGTTAGTATATATGTAATGTATAAGACGATCTCTGCTTACCGTGTGTTGCTGGCAGCTTGTCTACCATCTGTTTTTTATATCTCATTATTGACTAATTGTTGTTAATTTGTTCGCTGTAAGCCCTTTTGGGAAATATATACATTTATCGCTATTATTAAATATTTTTATTAACATAGTCGTTGTGTCCTCGCTCCAGTCACAGCGTGAGACTAGATGGCGCTGTGTGAATTGTCCAGGATTATTTATTTATTATGATTGTTAATATCAACTAAGTAATTATGTCCACACAATATCTGGAACGTTAAGAGCTCATTAAGTACATGAAGTGAGGTTCAGTTGGGGGCCGGATTAAGTTAATGGTTGTCGCGCGAGATGTTTTCATTAACTCGCACAGATATCCAATTTCCTGTTGTTGTTAGACTAATTTTAAATGACAAATTAATAAATTGCTTTCAAGTTCTAAAGGCAGACAGTTAATTATAGTGACGTTTCGAGATGAAGCGAAATCCTAATAAATAGAGACAGTTCACAAGTAGCCAAGGAGCCCGTTTTAATGGGCCGACTTTAGGAAACACGCCACCAATCAAGACTGCGACACTCCACGGCGACTCTTGTCCTCCCGCCACAATTCAATATATCTGATTTGTTTCTACATCGTGAAATGTTGTTAAACTTTTGTTAATTTGCAAAGGCAATGAGAAAAAATTGATATTTATATAGATATTGTGAAATATATAGTTATGTATATATATCGTATTAATATTATAAACGCGAAAGTTTACAAGTATCGATGCTGTTACTCTTTCAAGCAGACAGACACTACTGAACGGATTTTGATGAAACTTTACAGTGACATAGTTTATGTATACAGCAGAATAACACATAAAAAAATTCACGTAGGTGAAACCGCGTGCACAGAGCTAGTATTATTTATTTATTTATTTATATAACTTTAATGCACACAGTACAAAAGTAACAGTACATTTGGCGGACTTAACACCATGCGGTATTTTCTACCAGTCAACCATAGGCAGTACAGAGAAATATTGTTGGCGGTGCAAAGATAATCAACATACGTATAAAATACTTACATATTTTCAGATACATATAGTATTGTACTATATGTACCTGAAAATATGTAAGTATTCAATTTTTGTATATACGTACTGTACAGGTTGGTTAGTGTCAGTAGTTGTTCCTTATTCCTCTAGTTTGTTAATAACATCAGGCGTCGGTTTATCATCCCTACTGTTGCTGGCAGCTCGTCTAACATTCTTTTTATAAATTTTATATTGTTGATATCTCTTTTTTATATATATATATGTGGGTCCTTTTGGGAAATATATCACTACTATTGTGATTTTCAATAAAATAATGGTCGTGTTCCCGTCGTGCTCCCGTCGTGCTCCCGCTCCAGTCACAACCACCTTCAAGCAACTCCCGGCCACATCGCGCAGCTACTTTGACAATAATACAATAACAATTGCAGAGTTACACGATAATTTGTTAATGCGTGAATGTATTATATATATGTATATATAATGATAATATCTCAGGACAATTCACACAGTGCCATCTAAACTAAGCAGAGCTTGTGTAGGTGTAGGGTACGAGACAACTGATATAAATACATAGATACATTTTTTTTTGTAAATAAATACTTATTATTAGAAAACACCCAGACCGATACAAACAATCATACTCATGAATACAAATGTTTGTACCGTGCGAGGAATCGCACCCGCGACCATCGGATAGTAAAGCGATGTGCTAAACCACTAGACCACCGAGGCTGTATAATAATATAATTACTATTTAGTCCTGTACTGTATATATTCATACGTTCTCAATATCATAATAGCAATATTTTATACATTAAATTAGCAATGATGACTAAAATATATTATCAAAAGGGGTCCCTTTAGGCAAAGTTCCGAAGATACTGGCAGCGTTCCCTCTTTGAATGGCTTCTATGTCTTCTTCTTTGTCCGAGGTAGCTGCCAGCTCTTCGGTCTATTGAATTGTATGCTGTATGTTCTTGTCATTGAACGTATATATAACGAACACGACATTATTGCGCGGAACTAATCCAATCTTGATTCTGCCATATCTAGAAAAAAAACAAATCATAAACCACTGAATTCCATTTATAAATAAATAACAATTTAAACTTTTGTTTTCTTCAAATAGTCTGTGTATAATATAACGTCTAAGGTCAAAGTCCCCGCACACAATGAAAGATAATCTAGGTCCGGGGATAACGCGGGAGAGCGAGCTCAGTAATTGAGTCGGCCGATACGGAGGATAATGTGAAACACAAATGTAAGTGGTCCATCTATTCGTAGGTGTTTGACCTCTAATCGCTTTTATTATCAACTCTCTGCTCTCACATATTGGAACTTCTTATCTTTTCCACATTATTATATCTCGTATTTTGCTCAGAGTTCAGGTACAATTTATCTGGGACGTGATAATGTTATCAGTCTGTTTACAATGATAAACGAATACAAACTAAATATAACAAACACATTGACGAGTGCATTAGTATCTCACTGTAAATGAACCAGCGCGCACGTATTCATCATGTTACGGAAGGTGTTCGTGGTTGGAGTGGGCATGACGAAGTTTGCCAAACCGGGCTCCATAGGAGACTACCCTGATTTTGGGAAGCAAGCGGTGCTGGAAGCTCTACAGGACGCCGGCCTCAAGTATGACGTGATACAGCAGGCGGTGTGCGCATACGCCGCCGGAGACTCCACCAGCGGGCAGCGGGTGCTGTACCAGGTCGGGATGACCGGCATTCCCATTTACAATGTCAACAACAACTGCTCGACGGGTTCTAGTGGCCTATTTCTCGGGAAACAACTCATTGAAGGGGGCAGAGTGGATGTCGCTCTAGTGCTGGGCTTTGAGAAAATGGCTTCGGGAGCGCTCAAAGGATCTCGTTTCCCCGATAGAGCTCCGGCTACCGGTGTACATCAGGAGAAAATGAGGGAAATGACAGAGGTACCGCCTGGTCCTCTGACACCGCAATATTTTGGAAACGCTGGTATAGAACATATGAAGAAATACGGCACCACCGAGGTACATTTCGCAAAAGTAGCAGCAAAAAATCACAGACATGGTGCAAAGAATCCTAGAGCTCAGAGTACGAGAGCATATACGGTCGAAGAAGTACTGAGTTCTAGAAAGATCTTCGGACCGCTGACTAAGCTGCAGTGCTGCCCCACCAGCGACGGCGCGGCGGCTGCGATACTCATGTCGGAGGATGCCGTCATCCGTAACGGTCTCCAAAACAATGCCGTCGAAATAATTGGCATGGAAATGGCTACGGACCCATCGAGTACGTTTCAAGACAAGAGTTTTATGAAACTAGCTGGTTACGACATGACTCGCCTGGCGTCTTCACGTCTGTATACGAAAACTGGAATCACTCCGAAACAAATCGATGTGGTGGAGCTTCACGACTGCTTTTCTTGTAACGAACTGATCACCTACGAAGGTTTGCAGTTGTGCGCAGAGGGCGAGGCTGGCAAGTTCATCGATGCGGGGGCCAATACTTATGGCGGGCAAGTGGTCGTGAACCCGAGTGGAGGACTGATTGCTAAAGGGCATCCGCTCGGAGCCACTGGCCTGGCGCAGTGTGCTGAGCTTTGCTGGCAGTTGCGGGGGAAAGCTGGCGCTAGACAAGTAAGTAATTTTATATAATTCAAGTAATCACTACATTATATAAATCAAAGTCGCTGTCGCTGTCTGTCCGTCCCTATGTATGCTTAAATCTTTAAAACTACGCAACGGATTATGATGCGGTTTTCTTTTAATAGAGTGATTCAAGAGGAAGGTTTATATGTACAATATATGTACACCCGGGCATAGCCGGGGAGAGTAGCTAGTTTAATAATATGTCAAATGACTTAAAAACATAAAAAATATTTATTCTAAAATGTAACTGGAAGCCAAATTTAGCAATGAATACAAGGGTGCATGGACGACAGCTACTTACAAGTATTTTTCCTATAAACGTTGTAATGAATAACAATAGATCAGTAGCGAATACAAAAGATATACGTGTAAGTATAAATACAATAAGAAGCCTTACAGCTGAGAGAAATCTTTTCAGGTTCTGTGTGTAGACTTAATTATAGACGCGGCCTGTATATATGTACAAGCCGGGAATAATGTAATGTTCTATTAGTAACGTCGCTAGTACCTAATATTTAGAAACAAGCTTCGGCCCGTGACATCGTTCAGACGATCTGGATGTATGAATTATGCTGGACAAAATACAAACTTCTATTTCTCTTCCGTATGTCAGATAACATACTGATTCGTTCATCTCTAGAGATAATCGTATCGTAGAGCCTATGTATGAATAGAATAAGAATAGAAATCATTTATTCAAATAAACTTACATTGAAACACTTTTGAATGATCAACATTTTTTTTCAATCTACCGCTCATTCGGAAAGCTGTCTCAATTCAATTCAATTCAATTTATTTACTGGAACATGTGTACATAATGGTCTTAAGATTATAATAGTTCCAAAACATGCCCTGCCGTTTCCGGCGTGTAAAATCTTACAATAATATTTATTACATTTACATTATTATCACATTATTATATTTAAAATTATTAATACAATACATTATTATGAAATTATTTTATTTAAAACTATTAATACAATCCATTATTATCATTTAAATAATCATTTGTGGAATAATAACATTTATTTAATAATTCTTTAAATAATTTACTTTTAAATTGTTTATTATTCAAATTTCTATAATTGTCTGGAAGATGATTAAAAATTTTTATGGCCATACAATATACGTTATTTGAAAAAAGTGCCAATCTTTGTTTAGGGACATATAGCTTGTATTTATGTCTACTTCTACTTTCTGGAATGTCACAGTTTCTCTTAAATATATGTGGGTATTTGTCAACGAACATGCACATTTCATATATATACAGACAAGGAAGAGGGAGAATATTAAGTTTTTTAAATAGTGGTACGCAGCTGTCCCTTATATGCGCTCCACATAGTGCTCTGATACATTTTTTTTGTATTTTAAATACTTTTTGGAAGTCTACAGAATTTCCCCATAATATTACACCATATCGTAGTAGTGACGAAACATAGCCATGATAACATGAAAGAGATGCTTGTAGGGTAGCAACTTGTCGAATTCTTTTTAGTACATAAACAAATCTATCTAATTTATTTATAAGCTTGTTTATGTGAAAATCCCATTTTATAAATTTGTCGATAGTTATTCTAAAAAAGGGACACTATCTACTCTTGGTATTTTAATGCCATTACAAGTAATTTTTAAATTAATTGGAGCACTGTTATATGTCTGAAATTGTATTAGATTTGTTTTATTAATATTTAAATTTAAGTCATTTGTTGTAAGCCAACTTTCGATATCCTGAATAGTATTATTAATTTGATTTTCATAATTATTTTTATTGGAACATTTAACTAAAATTGTAGTGTCGTCAGCGAAAAGAATACATTTTTCGTCAGTAACATTTGGCAAGTCATTTATATATAACAAAAACATTAATGGTCCCAAAACAGTCCCTTGTGGAACACCTCTATTACTATCTCTATAATGAGATCTAAACGTCATTTTTTCTTTATTTATCATATTAATTGCAGTAATTTCAACACGTTGATGTCGATTTTCTAAGTAACTATTGATCCATTTTAGTACTACACCTCTAATACCATAGCAATATAATTTATCAAGAAGTCTGTCATGGTTAACGAAATCAAAGGCTTTACTCATATCTAGAAAAAGAGATACTATAGGAATTCGTTCATTTAGACATTCAGTTATATATTTAATTAAAGTAAAACATGCAAGTGTCGTAGATCTGTTTTTTATGAAACCAAATTGTTCATTTTTTAAAATGTCTGATGATATTATAAAATTATAGAGTTTATTATACATGATTTTTTCAAATACTTTAGACAGAACTGGAGGTAATGATATTGGTCGATAATTGTCTAAATTATTGCGATTGCCTTTTTTAAAAAGAGGTTTAACTATTGAGTATTTCAGACGTTTCGGGAATTCACCTTGTGTAAAAGACAAATTAATTATATAAGTTAATGGATGTGCTAAAGATGATGCACATTTTTTTAAAATGTTTGTTTTTATACAGTCATATCCTGTTGAATTTGTGTTTTTTAATGCTTTTATGATTTTATAAATGTCCTCTTCTGTCACTGGCGTTAAAAACATGCTTTTACTGTTACTAATAATGTTATGGTTATTTGGTCTATGTATTTTGTTATTATTAATATTTGTAATGTCAATGAAGTATTTATTAAATAGGTTTGCAATTGAATTTAAGTCATTGTATTCTATGTCATTATGTTTAATTATGTGTATGTCATTATTTATTATTGTACTGTCAATATTGTCCTTAATTACTTGCCAAGCGGCCCTGCATATATTTTTAGAGTGGGTTATATATCTAGTATTATCTATTTGTTGTGCGTTTTGAATACATCTTTTTAAAATTTTTGTATAGTGGTGATAGTTATTTTGGGTATTTTTTGATTTTGACCATCTGTACTTCAAGTATAAATTACGCTTCTTATTATAAGAAGAATGTGATATATTATATTATATGCAATTTTATTTTCATATAACATAATAGTTCTCTATGAAAACACAATGGTCATTGTTTCCCACAGTCTCAATCAGCACAGGAAAGACTAGACGAACCATTGGCGAAAGTCTAACAGAATTATTATACACAAGAGTCGACATAAAATGTTTATTAATTTCTTTTTATAATTTTGAACCATTCTAATATTAGTAGTTCTAATTTACAATAATAGAATTAATATAAGATAACACAATACTGTTGTATTGGTACAATCTCGATTTTGTTTGTATTTATCGCAATTGATTTTGGAATTAAATATGGATTGTTGCCTTTTATATGGACTGAACTGACTGTTGCTCTTGTATACAATGCAGGTGCCGGACGCTCGCATCGCGCTGCAGCACAACCTGGGCCTGGGGGGAGCTGTCGTCATAGCGCTGTACAGGAAAGGATTCACGGACTACGCCGGCCTCTCCAAACTCTGAACCGATCTGAATAAAGCAGCCAACAAAAAACAGGGAGTGTGATATTTCAAAATGTTATAAAAAATATTGTGATCAGCTAACATTCATATTTGGCGAACAATGATATCAAAATGTTCTCATTTTTTCTATTTATATATTAAACAATATCGTAAATTGCTTATTTAATTTTCCACATTGAATTACAAGCGTTGAGTGGTAATTGTATTCGTATAGGAAAACATTTAATGAAATATAATAATGTAGGTTATTCTTCATTTATGACACCGTTTTTAGTATTTTCATCCAACTTTTAAAAAGAAGGTTCTCATGTCATTTAGGTATATATATCTTTCCTTTATTACATAAAAAAAAGACAAAGTCATATTCGTATAATTAATGGTATATCTTATCACATATATAATAACAATATTATGATGCTGCATGTCATGACAAGATCTTTTAATAAGAATCATGGAACATTTAGAGATAATTGTTATCATTTTTAGTGTTATAACCGAGTAATAATTATAAAAATACGTTCACAAGTACATCAGTAATTAAATATAATTCAGTGGGCGCGCACATATCTACAATGGGCAGGAAGGTGTACGTGGTAGGAGTTGGTGTTACAAAGTTTGCCAAGCCGGGCACCATCGGAGACTATCCGGAATTTGGCAAGCAAGCGGTGGTAGAGGCGCTGCGAGATGCCGGCGTGGAGTACGAGGCGGTGCAGCAGGCGGTGTGTGCGTACGTCGCCGGCGACTCCACCAGCGGCCAGCGGGTCCTCTACCAGGTCGGAATGACGGGCGTGCCCATCTACAACATCAACAACAGCGGAGCTACCGGTGGCAGCGCTCTCTTCCTCGCCAAACAGCTCGTGGAGGGAGGTATCATTGATGTAGCACTAGTTCTGGGCTTTGAGAAAATGAATCCTGGAGCACTGAAAGTCTCTGTCTTTGATGATAGAGCTTCCTCTTTTGATATACACATGGAAAAAATTATAGATTTAGTAAAGAATAAAGTACCCCGTGTACCAATGGCGGCGCTTATTTTTGGTAATTCTGGAATAGAACACATGAAAAAGTATGGAACTACCGAAGTACATTTTGCCAAAATAGCGGCCAAAAATCATAGTCATGCATTGAAAAACCCGAAAGCCTTCAATACAAAAGCGTATACAGTTAAAGACATACTGAATTCTAAAAAAATTCATGGGCCACTTACAAAACTGCAGTGTTGTCCTACGAACGACGGCGCATCAGCAGCCGTCCTCATGTCGGAGGCTGCGGTGGCACGTTACGGGCTCCAACACAAAGCGGTTGAAATCGTTGGCATAGAGATGGCGACGGATACACCAAACGTATTTCAAGAGCCGAGTTTTATGAGAATAGCCGGTTCGGATATGACTCGTCTAGCGGCGACGCGGCTCTACACTAAGACCGGAATTAGTCCAAAGCAGATAGACGTGGTCGAACTCCACGACTGCTTCTCTTGTAACGAGCTCGTCACCTACGAGGACCTGCAGCTGTGCGGGCAGGGCGAAGGCGGTAAATTCGTGGATGCTGGCGCGAACACTTACGGCGGACAAGTGGTTGTGAACCCGAGCGGGGGTCTGATCGGTAAAGGACACCCGCTGGCCGCCACCGGCGTGGCGCAGTGCGCCGAGCTGTGTTGGCAGCTGCGCGGGGAAGCCGGCGCCAGACAAGTAAGCTATACCTACACAGTTGTTTGTCTAAAGCGCAATCTATTTGTTACACACAAATTTAAACAGTAATTATCTTCTCTATGTACTGATTATCGAACTGCATCTATTTACTTCTGAGATTAAATACGATATTTTGCAGCAAACACTAGTTACTGTTACGTTTTGTCATGAAACTGTTCCTGACATGGTTAAACATATAGTCATGTAATATAAATGACCGTACACAAACTTTACAAGAATTAATATATTAATAAATGAATTCTTATTTTCAAAATATGTACTATCTTTTAATGGGCATTACTTATGAAACGCCTTTTCAATATTAGTTGTTTGAACAGTTTTATTCCTTAATTCTATGTTTATCATGTATAATTATTTGTTTATATAAAATTTTAATCACCAAATAAATAAATAACCCAGGACAATTAACATAGCGCCATCTAGTCTCACGGTAAGCAATGCTTGTGTTATGGGTACTAGACAAATGACATGAATGTTTAGATTTTTTTTGTTGATTGACATACTTATTATACATAGAAAACACCCAGACTGATACAAACAGTCATACTCATGAATCAAAATGTTTGCACTGTGCGAGGAATCGAACCGGCGACCATCGGAAGTAAAGCGGTGTATGAAACCGCTAGACCACTGAGGCCATCTAATGTTTAGAAAACAATTTTCATCATTATCATCATCATCATTACATAGTATAAAACAAAGTCGCTGTCGCCGTCTATCCCTATGTATGATTAAATCTTTAAAACTACGCAACGGATTTTGAAGCGGATTTTTTAATAGATAGAGTGATTCTAGAGGAAGGTTTATATATATAATAATGAGTGCGTAGCGATTTCTATGTTGATTATCGCATGCCTCTTACTTGTTATACTGTAATTACTTATATAAAAAAAACATCTATTCAAAAGAGCAACACACAAGTTTCTTGCTCATTCTTCTTGTGATGAATCTGCATTCCGAATGCGTGGTAGAATCAAAATATGACTATTCATAAGTGCTGGTAATGAGTTTATTTGAATTAAGATTATTTATATTTTTAATACATGTACACCCGTGCAAAGCCGGGGCGAGTGGCTAGTATTTTGTGGTAATAATGTTTCAGTAAATATATATTGTTCGTAGCTAATAATTATCATAATATAACGACAGTAAATGAGACAAAGGTTATCTATCACTTAAAACAGTGGGCGGTGAGTTTCGTTGGGTCGTGTATGTTCAGTGCCTACTGTCGCCTGTACTCTCACATTACCTACCGATACGTTCTCGGTGTGTTCTCATGAACACAAATAGAATAAAATAGAAAATAATTTATTCAAATCAACTTATATTTAATCACTTTTGAATAGTCATCACATTTTTTTTCAATCTACCGCTCATTCGTAAAGCTGTAATGGCTACTCTTTTAAATAATTTTGAGGTTATTTTACACTAGCTGTACCCGCGACTTCGTCCGCGTGGTATAAAACTTTATTTTTCTAAAATAAAAGCAGCCTCGTATGAGTCTGTAATAGACCTACGTGAATAAAGATGTTGAATGAATATATCGTTTCAGGTGCCGAATGCGCGTCTCGGTCTGCAGCACAACCTGGGACTGGGCGGCGCTGCTGTCGTGGCACTGTACCGTAGGGGGTTCACCGACCACACTTCACACTCCAAACTTTAAAACATCAATTTGTAAAGTGCTAATTAAATATTTTCTCTCTATCATTAATTATTACGTGAGGCAAAAACTTTGTATCGCTTTATGCGGACGGAGCCACACAATTTTAGTACGTTCTCGTTCCTTTCTGCAGTTTTCGTTTTATTTGTTATGAGTATTAAACAACTGATATAAATACTTAGTTTTTTTTTTGTAAATACATACATATTAGACATAGAAAAGACCCAGACCGATACAAACAATCATACTCATAAATACAAATGTTTGTGCCGTGCTAGGAATCGAATCCGCAACCATCGGAAGTAAAACGTGCTAAACCGCTAGACTAACGAAACAGTCGTAAAATATTGAGAAAATTCCCAGTTAAAGTTTATAATTTATCTGCCACCTCTTATTATATATATAAATTACAGCTTTATTAAAGTAACGTAAGTTTATTCATAAAATAATATAGTTTAGGGGTCCGGCGGGGGGTTGGAACCACACTACGTGTCTGGTAATGAGCAGCGCAAGTTATAATACTGCTACGAACAATATATGAAAATATGGAGTTTCTTAAAATAACGAATTTGATATAAAAATTTTTACACCTTTGTTTCCTGTTACCTGCCAAAGGAACCACGATCCAGGTTTCATGTTTGAGGATCGTTCTTACCTGTGTTGGGGGGACACACACAAGAACTTTCACGTTTACTAATATGACGTATGTCTGACCGTCGTGGGCTCTTGCTCTATACATAGATAAACATTTTTTTTTCTTAAAAACGAACTAAATTAAATATTTACAGTATAATATAGATATAATAATTTTTACAATTGTATAATATTATAATGTAATATGCTATCTGAAAGACAGAATTATGTAATTATTTAACCAATATATAATTTTGTTTAACCAATATATAACCAATATATAATGTTGTCCGCCTTGTGCAGACAGCACAAGGCGGATTGTATGGAACTATATGTACCAACTTTATAACCTCTGTGCACACCACCTTCCTCGCAAAATAAACAATTTCATTTCACTGTATATGAAAGCAAATACATTTTTATCTCAATAATTCTGCCATCACTTTGGTCTATCTCCAAATAGTTGGTACTGTCGTGCTCCCGCTTGGCATTTAATGCATTATAAGTTACTCGTATTTGAAATAGCGAAATTCGTAGTGCGGTCAGGTCGGGCACGAGGCGGCCGCGCGGGATATTTCCCGAGGGAACGCGCTCTCTTATCAACTTGAATCTTAACAGCTTATTGAATATCCCACGTCTTGCGACCTGACTCCCTCGCAACCCGCCAGCCTTCCACTTTCATGCAACTCTTCATCCATTACTTATAGTGATTCACACCATAGAAATATGTTAAGTTTTTAAGGTATATCGAATGATAAACGAGCTGGCCTCCCATCTGATGGTAAACAGTAACTGCCGTCTATATATATGAACAACAATACGGACTTATTATCACACTCAATTACATATGAATGTGGATGGCTATAAGGGCAGAGGAAGGCCGAAAAAGAGATTGATGACTGTGTGAAAGATGATATGGTGAGAAAGGGAGTACATAACTAGATGACTGCGAACAGGGATGAATGGAAGCGAAAACCATATTACGACGACCACAAATAAATGGGATAAGGAAGAAGCAGATGATGATGACTAATATTATCTGACCAACAACCGAATTACAGGACTTTACAGCAATTATATACTAAAAGATGTTTTTCAGGAATGGTTTATTAAGATTTCCTAAGTGTCAGCAACGCGCTCGTGACACCCCGGTGTCTCAGGTGTCTATACGCTACGGTAACCACTGCCATCAAATAGACTATGTGCCCGATTGCCATCTTTGTGACATAAAAAGAACATTGTTTGATTTTTTTATAAGATGAGAATCTTGATTGTATTGTTGGAAGTATAATGCTGGCCATCGTAGAATTAGTTGTTTGTACATTTTTATAGAATATGTCACTATACAAAAAATCCTGATCTTTTAAAGTGTAAAAGATCAGGATTTTTTTGTAATGTCAACATGTAAACTTTATCATTTTAATATTTAACCCACTGCTGATTTCTCTTATTTCCAAAATGTATATCAAAAATAGGTGATTCCCATTTAATTGTTATTAATACAATAACTTAAATAATTACTAGCAGTGCCTGCGGTTTTATCCGCACGAAATTTATAGCCAATATGTTATTCTGATATATACATTACTGTAAAACTTCATCAAAATCTGTTTAGTAGTTTTTGCATGAAAGTGTAACAAACATCCGTCCATACTCACACACTAATGTGTTTATAATATTAATAACAAGATGTGTAATGCATTCGTTAGCTAATCTAATTCGTTAGCAAAGCTAATCTGAAACTGAATCTGTGACCGTTCACGTTTTGTTTCTGACCCCTGAAACCCTTGCGTTGCAGTGTTGCAGTCTTAACATTTTATATTGGGCCACAGATTCATACTGCGCCTGAACAACATACTTCATAATTATTACATTCAAAACATTATAACAAACTATATATGTGCCAAGTGGAGAAGTTTAATGTTACTCGGATGTGTATCAACACTTGCTGCACTCATATATGTGCTAGTAACGTTGACGTGAGACACATCCCAAACTCACTTTATTAGGGAGTTGTTCACGTTTACATTCCAAATGAGCTAGCCCCCCCCCCCCCCGCCCACTCCTCTACCCCCTCAGTCCCCGCGTTCATCCCCGACGCCACTAGAGCGATGCACAATAGCAGCGGCAACACAACGAGCCGACTCTTTGTTCTCACAGCGCCGTGCCATGTTTAATTAAACTGATGCAGTGTACCCACTCACATCTTACACTGAATGCAAAGATGGACGTGCCTACAGTTCATTGTAATCGCCACGACTTTGCGCAATGAAGTACATATTATTTAATTAATCATTAAACAACATTAAAGTAAGAAGTTCAAATTCAAATATTTATTTGTAATTAGGCCCTTAGTCAACATAAACCAGAAATAAATTATATCTTTACAATTTAAAAAATAAAATGTTATTTCTTAACATATATGTTCAATATATTACATACTGGCTACCCACCCCGGCTTCGCACGGGTATACATGTATTATATAAACCTCTTGAATCACATTATTTATTAGAAAACCCGCTTCAAAATCGGTTGCGTAGTTTTAAAGATTTAAGCATACATAGGGACAGACAGCGACAGCGACTTTGTATTATACTATGTAGTGATGTAACAGTAAGCAAATCAAGAAACGGATAATTAGAATTCGTCCGCGCAGTCACAACTAAAACGGGGATGTTTATTTGATGACAAATTTTGAAACATACGCATCCCTTCAGGCTGTAATAGCTGTGTCACACTGTCGGGTCGACTGGTAGAGATCTCTTTTAGAGATATGTCCACCTTTGCTCACTCTGTATATAATTAAGTTTACTACTGTATTTAAAAAGTAATAAAATATATATTAGGTCCTAACATATGAAATCGACGTTTTGTAAGGGAGTAACCTAAAGTCGAATCTTTCAAAATATAATATATTTATTTAATCAAAGTATGTACCATTGCTATTTATGCACTTTTGCCATCTCATAGGTAGTTCATTGATCTCTTTACTAAAAAAAACATTCGGACAGGAATCAATAAAATCTTCGAAGGCGCTTTGGACTGCCCCATCGGAAATGATTCAAATCAAATCGAAATTTGGAGAACTTCTTGAAGTTCTCCAAATTTCGAAGTTATAAAAAAAACCCGACGTGACGACAGTGACCCAAAGTTCGAGCTCCTAGCGGTGCCCCCAGAGTAAAGTCGTAACCGTCAGGCGAGAGTTGCCCTTCAGCCGCTCCATAAATACTTCCTTTGGTTTGGAGTGCCATCTGCACTCGCCCCCTATCGTCCGGTGAAGCTGTAAAGGCCAGCTGCGGCCAACAGCATTAGAGTAGACCGAAAAAAAAAACCATGACACTATGCAGATGTTCAAAAGATTCTCCAGCCGTTTAACACCATACCATATCTCGAATAAGAAATATCGCTGTAGCTGTCTGTCCGTCCCTATGTATGCTTAAATCTTTAAAAGTACGCAACGGATTTTGAAGCGGTTTTTTAGTAGATAAAGTGATTCAAGAGGTTTATATGTATAATACATGTATACCCGTGCGATGCCGGGGCGAGTGGCTAGTATTTCAATAAAATATATATCCAAATGAACAATAATGTCGATAAGCAACATTAAAGATAAAATACCCGTTACAGCAGCTGTCCGTCTCGTACAGGTAGTGGGGTAGTGGGGTGGCAGGTGGTACGCAGGGCTGCAATAAAGCTTACATAGCCCTTACGGCGCGGCGGCGTGTCAGTTCCATTATAGGCCTTTATTTTACGGCTCGCATCTAATGATGGCAACCGGAAACAACGAATTTGTGTAGCCTTTACGCATCCGCACCCAACGATTTTCATACGATTCCAATATAAGTACAACAAAATTGGAAACAAAAATGGTGAACTATATTGGAATTTGTTTTTTAAGGGAGTGTGTATACGTACCTTTAAGGTTTAGGTCTAGGACCTACTTTGTTGAGAACTTGGGAGCTTGTAATTAAACAGTCGACAGACAGAATGGAAGTGTGTTTATTATATTTTTTTTTCGGACTACTCTAATGCTGTTGGCCATTACAGCTTCTTGGACGATAAGGGGCGAGTGCAGATGGCACTCCAAACCCGCGGAAGGACTTATGGAGCCGCTGAAGGCTAACTCCCGCCTGACGGATACGACTTTTTTCTGTGGGCACCGCTAGGGGTTCGGACCTCGACTTAGGTCGTCGTAATATCGATCCCCGTTTGAATTGGATGGGGGATCGATCGGTGTGGCTTTATTATAGAAATATTCGGATCTTATATACGATATTACACGTGTCGCGTTTCTAATGTACACGTGCCGTGCGAATAAAGATTCTAGGAAGTTGCGTGGACGTGGACGGTGGCACGTGTAGAAAGTGTGTTGCCACTGTTTAAAAATATTGGACCGGATTAGTTCCAGTTGTGAACGTAGGTA